AGACGCGCTGCGGTAGGCGACCGTCGGGCATACACAAAACGTGTCCTAACCAACGAAGACTATTGAGCTGGATTCGATGCAATAACGAGTTGTTGTTTGAGGTATTCCCAAACACCCGACGACTTTTAACTTACCAATCCGCTCACTCCATCTCACTTGGGTCAGACTACGTAGGTATCGATTGTCGAACACTGCTAAACGACGTGTCTTCTACCCGCATATTCAAAGTCTCACGACCATAGAGTAGAACTGATCATACGGTGGCGCAGTACACGCGACTTTACAACTTTAGTGACACGTCACGTCGCCGCCACAAGTGTTTTAGTCCTGCGTACGCTGCTGGAGCCTTGAAAATGCGGGTGGTTATCTTCGATGCGCTATCGCAGCTACCCAAGTACAAGAAGCAGTCAACTACAGGCAATTCCTGACCGTCTAGTTTCAGAACGGAACTCGGTGGCACTCAGTCTTGTAGCATCACTTTGCACTTTGAAGGCGTGAAGCACATGCCGAACGGAGCGACAGAACTTGTTAATCTGTCAAGTGCTCTTTGCGCATTCTCCATAGATTCGAACAGGCAAACAATGTCGTCAACGTACTCCAAATCGCACAGCTTTTCTCCAGCTGCCCACTCAATACCTGCATTTTGGAGGCCACTTAGTGTATTCTCCAGTGTTTCGTCTATGACGAAATTGAACAGGAATGGCGAAAGAAGGCACCCTTGATGAATACCGCTGCTAGTTACAAACGACCTACTCAGATCGCCGTAGATACGCTACCAGAAGTATGTGAGTAGAGTGAACTCAATATGTTCACATACTTCTGCGGCATTCCTTTGCGAAGAAGCGAACCCATAAGGGATTCACGGTCAGCTGAGTCGAAGGCTCCTTTTAGGTCAAGGAACACGACAACCGTTGGCCGACGGTGCGTATGGCGTAGCTCGAGAACTTGACGCAGAGTTAAGATTTGGTCGAAATCCTGCTTGTTGTTCACGAATAGTTGTCTCCCTAAACGTTGTCAGACGGCGAAATATGATGAAGGCTAGTAACTTGGTGACCATTGGGATCAAGCTTATTCCACGGTGGTTTGCGCAGTCGTTGCGATATCCCTTCTTAAAAATGGGAACAATCAATGGTTCGCTCCAGGATGATGGAATGCGCTCATGTGACCAGATGTTATGCATTAGATCATTAATGGAGTCTACGAGGTCATCGCCTCCCAACTTGAAAAGAGTGGGGGGAAGCCCGTCCTGTCCTGCTGTTTTTCCTTTCTTCAGGGATTGGATGCAAGAACGAACTTCTGCTGCAGTAGGACGTTCACATGATAATTCCCATGCAGCCGCATCTGCAACAGACGATATAGTCTGGTTAGCGCCTGGCCAGCTGAACTCTTCGTTGAAGTACTCCGCCCACCGGTCAAGCCGTTGTTCTCTATTGTGAATAGCTTAACCACTTTTTTCGCAGATTTTTTCACGAACTGTGGTTCTCCGAGCTCCAGTGTTGCGTATCAGCTGGAACAGTCTTTGACTGTTCCCTGATGCAGCTGCGACTTCCATTTCACTAGCTATCGTTGCCCACCAGTTCTCACGATCTTTCTTGAGTTGTCGTTGCAGACGCCACCTACCCTTGCCTTGATCCCGGGCGGTGGGGATTTCCCGCTTTTTCTCCATCCGTGCTGCTGAATCATCAGATATCGAATGCCTCGGGCGGGCTACCGCTTCAGATCCACAAGCAACTCGCAGCGGAGTGCATTGCTCGTCTAATCTGATCCAATTGTTCGTCTACACTAACACGCCGCCGAGCATTTAGCTCCTGCCCTAGTTCTGACTCAAAACGGGCACGAACGGCTGGGTCAGATGAACGATGATCTGCCAACCGTGTTTGGTGGTTTTTTTTTGGGAGCAGTGAGTTGGAGAGTGGACTGCATCAACACTAATGCATGATCAGACTCTACGCAGGTGGTCCAATAAGACCGGCAATTTTGCACTGAGCCACACCAGCGGTAGCTTACTGCTATGTGGTTGATTTGAGTTAGCGCACCAGTTAAATTGGAGCGCCACGTTGCTGTCCGTTGAGAGTTGTGACGGAATTTGGTGCTGGATAGGAACAGATGATGATCTCCGCAGAAATGACGAAGTCGACCACCATTATCTGTTCGCTGGCAGGGCAGAGCACAACAACCGCCTAGGCAAGCGTCCGATGCACTCAGTTTTCTGACTTAAGCGTTGAAATCACCTGGGAGAACAAATATATCGGAGCTTCGACTCAACCGAATGATTTCGATGAGTTTATCATAAAAGTCGTCCTTTTGTGCGTCAGAACTGCATTTGGTCGGAGCATACGCTGAAATGATGAACGAACACTTTTTGGTGTTGCTTCCCTTCCGGACGATCGAGTAGTGCAACTTCGGCTTTATTATTGAGTACAATGCCCACACCACGCTGGCCTACTGAACAGGCTTCGTCGTCACCTGACGCGCGGACAACCCGGTGCACTTGAGTGGTTTATAGTACTAGGATCCTGTATTCGCGTCTCCGATACGCAACAGACATCAATCCCAATAGAGTCCATTGTACACGCCAGACACGCTTGTTGACCTATCTGTATCAAGTCCTCACGTTGAAGGCCCCCAGATTCATTGACTGACGAGGCTTCAGAATCTGCAATTTATTTTGTGGTAAACTACTTACCGGGCAACTTGGCGACGAAATTTGGCTAGTGACAAACAAGTTGTCTGAGGGAATTTTACTGGTTGGAAGAACGGGTAAAGGGAGAGGGTTGGGAACGGAAGGCAAAGAGTTAAACAAAGGTTGGGATATCTGAGCAGTAGCCCATTTATCACTACCCACCCCGCTAGATGCAATGGGCAGCGCGGTCCTGATTATCCTGCGCGACGACCGATGCAATATGGAATAGTTTTTTGTTTGTGTGTCTCCAGCCAATCAGTTCCGGAGTCTTTCGGACCCCAAACTGGAAGGTGCAAGACACCTACTCTACCGAATAGCTCTGTGCATTTTTCAATGTCCCGGCTCCATATCATCGCTTGATCTCTGCGTGGTTTCCTCCAACCTGGAGCCACAATTGCGAATAAGGCACGGATATGTGCAATATGTATTCTAACCAGCGAAGCCGACTAATCTGGACTCGATGAGACAACGGACCCTCCATCGATGCATTACCAAATTCACGATGCCTTACCTAAGAGTTGTTTACACTCGCTCCATCCAACTCGCGCCAAACTACGTAAATAGCGACAGTCGAAGACTTCAAGGCGACGAATATCTTCCACGCGCAAAGTTAGGGTCTCGCAACCATAAAACAGAACTGAAAGCACACTGGCGCAGTATACGCGACCTTTCAGTTTCAGGGAAACATCACGTCTGCACCAAAGGTCTTTCAGTCCTGCGTAAGCTGCTCTAGCCTTGGAAATACGGGCGGTTACTTCCTGGACTACGCTACCATAATTTGTCATGCAAATACCGAATTTGGAGAAACATTCCACCATAGCTAATTCTTGATCATCAAGCATCAATGCCAGAGTAGACGGTACCCAATCTTGAAGCATCACTGCAGTTTGAAAGTGCAAAGTTTATACTAAGAGTGCTTTGCGCGTGCACCATACATTCGGACAGACAAACAATGTCGTCAATTTACTCTAAATTGCACAGTTTTTCTCCAGCTGCCCCTTCAATGCCAACGTTTAGGAGACCGCTTAGTGCGTTCTCCAATATTTTGTCTACGACAGAGTTGAAAAACAATGGTGAGATGGAGCACCCTTGACGAACAGCACTCCTAGTTTCGAACGATTTGCTTAGCCCACCATAGGCCCTTACGCTACCCAAAGTATGCAGGTACATTGATCGCAATAGGTTTACATACTTCCGCGACATTCCTTTGCAAAACGGTGCACCCATTAGGGAATCACTATCAACTAAATCAAGGACTGCTTTCAGGTCAAGGAACGCTGCGATTATTGGTCGACAATGTATGTGGCGTAATTCGAGGACTTGACGCAGAATGAAGTTTTGGTCGATACATTCGCGACCTGGTCAGAATCCCGCTTGTTGTTCGCGATTATTCATGTTTCTTAAATGTGTCAGGCGGTGAAGTATCACAGAAGTTAACACTGGTGATGATCGGAAGCAAACTGATCCCGCGGTGGTTTGCGCAGCCGTTGCGTGATTCCTTCTTGAACATCGGAACGGTCAACGGCTGACCCCAGGACAAAGGGATACGTTCCTTCTACCAGAGGCTGCTAAGTAAGCTAGTAATCGAGTGGACGAGGCAGTCACCACCTAGCTTGAGGAGAAGGGGGAGAAGCTCATCAGATCCCGCTGCCTTACTTTGCTTTAACGTTTGAATACAACATCTTACTTCTAATTCTCTCGGACGCACACTCATGGAGTTTCCACTGCAATCGCCGCATTGGCACTAGGCCAACTGCCCAATGATCAGATTGTTGTTCTTTATTGTGAAGACTCTATAGCAAATGGTCTCACTAACCGGTATGCGTGAACCTCCGGTGCTGTGTATTATGTGAAACAGTCTGACTATTCCCTGCTGCTGAAGCTACCTCCATTTCACCAGCTATTTTGGCCCACCAGTTTTCACCATCTTCTTCAGACTTTTCCTGATCTGGCACTGCAGATGCCGCCGGTTTCTATGTTGATCCTTTCGGATTGGTTTCTTTTGCTTTCATTCCACCAGGATTATTGATTCCTAAGAGATCTACTCTCTTCGGCGAAATTCTGGTTCGATCCCACAAGGAAAGTTTGCTGCTGAGTGCGTTACAAATCTGATTTGATCCTACCGTTGGTCTACTCCAAACCGCGGTGCTCCTAACTCCTGTCCCAGCTTGTCCTCACAACTTGAATCGCGCAGACAATGACGAGCTAACTGCGGAAAGTATTTTTACCGATGAGTGGGAGTGACGCGTAACAGGACTAGTGCATGATCTGACTCAACACAGGTAGACCAATAAGATCTGCAATTTTGTACTGAGCTACGTCGACGGTAGTTTACAGCTGCGATCAATTTTCTTATTGAACTAGAACACCGTTCGACGAAAGCGGTGTCGAAAGTTGGTGCTAGGTAAGAAGTATTCGATCATCGTTGTCCGTTCGCTGGGCAGGAAGGGCGAAGTGCCGTCCTAAACCGGCGTCGGATGCGCCCCACTTTCCGACCTGCGCGTTAAAATCACCTGCCAACACTATAATATCAGAGCTGCGGCTCAACTGAATGATTCAGTGAGTTTATCATAGAAATCATTATGTTATGCATCAGAATTGCAATTGGTCGGTACTCACGCCGAGGTAATGAACAAATGCCTTTGCGGTTGCTTACCCTCTGGACGTTGCTCGACTCCTGGGGCCGTATCGCACATAAGGGATTGTTGACAGAGTTAAGTGTGGTTTCAGTTCTATTAAGTATTACACCTACTCCGCACTGACCTGCTGACCGGTTTTCTTCGTCGCCTGATGTGTGGTGGAAGTGTCTCGAGGATAAAACCGGCACACCTAATTGTTTTATAGTACTAGAATACGGAATTCACGTCGCCGAAATCGATCACTGAATAGTGCATTCCACGCGGAAGACAAGATTGTTGACTCACCTGAAAGACAGTACTCCCCCCCCCCCCAGATTTAGAGGTTGACAAAGCTTTCTTACCTGCGGTTCCCTTAGTGGTGATCAGATAACCACAATCGGTGCTTTTCTGCCATTTTTATCTATTTATTCCAACGATTGAGTCATCTAGCCGGTTCATGTAAACACTGTCAGCCATCAACGAATGCCACGAATGGATGGATACCGAGATAAGAGATATGGTGATCGCGATACGCAAGATGCACCGGTTACTCAATACACGGGCTCCAATAGAAAGCCACGATGTTCATCTAATCGATGAGTATCTGCTCTGTGGAATAATGTTTTTTAACAAGCGAACAATAATATGTATGTTATCAGTGAAATTTTTTTGGTTGACCTGAATTCGACGCATATCTGTGTTTTCATTGGATTGCACTAGTTTGTTTAATTCAGCCTGAAATCTTCGTTTCGTAGACAGTGTCTGATTTTGTATCTTACACGTCCATCACCACTGTCCGAACTGCTTTACTAGAAATATGTTTATTCAGAATTGCCCTGTAATATTCTTTATTGAATTAACCGTATCTTGTTATCCCATTCAACCCACACCCGTCCCCCCACCGTCCGTTTGTTCGAATGGTGATCAGTGTGCCAACTCCCTCGGTGCGGGATGAATTCGACGCGAACTGGGTTGCCTTCCTTCATGAGCTGATTTGGTCTAGCCTTTACGTTACTTCCGCATCCTCTGCTGACGATTCATTCACCCAATCCGGATAAACTTATTATCGTTCTCGACTCATTGCTGCCATCAATATTCTGTCGGTTTGGTTCCGTCTCTCTTGTTTTCGGCATAATTTCATCTAACAGATATGAAAAAAACTCACTTCAACGTTATCACGTCCAGATATGCAAGTGAACAAGCGGAGAACACAAACCGCAACTTCCAAACCTATCCGATTAACCGTCACATCATGAAAATGTGGTCCACACATGGTCCACTTTTAAGATATTGACGAGAATAACTTCATTACCTGTCCAAGCCGCTACCCACCTTTGCCCCAGTGCCAACAGCCGATCCCATTTCGTTTATAAGCCAACGTAACCAAGTTTGCAATACACTACTGCCATTCATTCCCTCGACCTTATGGTTCGTTTTCAGTTGGTCTCGACCACCACCACGACCGCATCGAATTGCCCGTTTCTGGTCCGTTCATTCAGGCATCACTCTTCGATTCTGTCCCGCACTCTCTTCACAGACCAGGTAGATGCGCGCACACAGTCTGGCGGATAGTTTATCTTGTCCAATCTTGTGTACATACGTGATCCACGTGAGAAATGTTATGATCTGTAGTCGGCATTCTTCGAACCGCGTTGAACAAGTGCGAACGACAGCTTCTCCTAACCTTGTCACCACCCAATCTGGTGATGCCTTGTGGAATTACTGTTCGTTGTTCCTTCCCCTTTCTTTTTCGAACCATTTGCTGCCAAATTTTGCTCATTTCTCTATCCCCCCCCCACTCTGTTCGAGATCTGTTACGAGACTGTGATAATGTGACGCGGTCCGCTATGTTTTTTCTCTACTTCAACTTCGATTGGGTGGGGTCTCATTGTCGTCAGCCCTGGAAAACACAAACTTGCAGCTTATGCTCACACAGTGAAGTTTGAATTTACTCGTTCACAGCGTAATAGTGTTTCCCGGGGATATCACTACAATTGTTCGCAACCATAGTTACTAACCCCTTCTTTAACAAGTAGACGTAAGAGACCATTGAGTGTAGTCTTTGAGTTTCGTTCGACTCTCATCAGCCGTCAAGTGCATTGATGCTGTTGAATATAAGGATAAAATTTTTTTTAAGTAGTTGGTGGTTTTTGTATTAAAAATGCGCTGTCTGTTGAGTCGTTTCTCTACTCTCTAATACTGTCATCATCCGGTTGATATATTTTACGTGAATATTTTTATGGGTGTCGATGCATGGTTTCGCAGACCTTTCACTCAGAACCAGATCTGACTCCTAACATAAACCGCACTGATTCTCCTCATCCAAATCAATTGGCAGGGGCCTCGGGCGTTTCGCACGCTCAGAGTTTGTGGTACTAGCGTATGAACGCAAATATCCTCTCTACACGACCAGAATATTGTCATTACGCCTGAAGCAGGTGTTCATTAAAAAGTACTAAAGCATTTCAGCCAAATGTGGAGGTTTAAAATGAAATTAACCAGAAAAGTGAATGTGTCCGTAAACTGGGAGAGTCTGTTCAGTTCCAACTTTGCTGTCACTCAAATTGGCGTTACATTTGATCTCTTGTGAAAGCCGGATACGGTCTCCAACTCGAAATTATTAGGCCTGTGTCCGGCTTTCATAACCTAATGATAGGTTTCCAGTCAGCGGGGCTAACCCATACCGTTGGAAAAAATTAGCTTTTCTCAGACATCCGTCTGATTAGCCTAATTAACACTTTCGGCTGTCGTTACGTCCCGCGGACGAGCCCGTCAACGGGAAATCAAGCGACTGAAGAGCCTTGTCGCTATGTAAACTGTTGATCGAATAACGGTTGAATTACAGTGCGATTGCTCCATCGTTTTCGATCGTCTCGTCCCTCTCACCCGTGACCTTAAGCAAGTAAATTCCGTCTGACCCCTGATGCGATCTGATTGGATCATATTCCGCGATCTGCGGCCCGTAAAATCCTTCACCCCAACATGAGACTGTCTAATTACCGGCTTGTACGTTTTGTAAAACTCTTGTTGTTACGTCCAGTCCATCCGAGTGCTGATGGCACTCCTCCCATACTGCCGAAGTTCATTGGGCCTGCCTGAGACTCAGCTGTAAAAGAGGTGGTTTCT